TCCGAATCTAACAAAAATTAACTTAATAACATCAAATAATGCAAGATAAATCAATTCAGATAAGTAAAGCAAACCTTTGCACAATTCCTCAAAAGTAAATAAAAGTCAACCCGGGACCCGCCCGGTCAAAACCCAGGTCCAAGGATAGATTCTGACTACTCATAACCCCACGAGTCCATATATGTGTTTTCTTTCAAAATCCGAGTCAAAATCGACTCTCAAAACTCAAATTCTCGTTTTTCAAAACATAGTCAAAATTTCTCAAAATTGCATTTCTCACAAATTTGATGTTAAATATCATATATAATCATGTAAAATAGTTGGAAATAGATCAAAATCACTTACCCAATGATTGTAGATGAAAATCCATCTTCAAAATTGCCTCCTGCCGAGTCTTGGGTTGAAAGATATGAAAATGAGACAAAAATCCCGACACAAGTTTCGCAATTGCGAACCCTCACAAATGCGGCTCCTGATGAAACCCAGGGGATGTCGCAAATGCCAACCTGACTTCGCATTCGCATTTGTGAAGTCAGGCCCTTCGAAAAAGCGACCTCTTGGATCGCAAATGTGATATAGCCCATCCCAGGCTCCCATCCCAAATGCGAACAAATTATTCGCAAATGCAAACCTAGAAGACTCCAGTTATATTTGCAAATGCGGCTCCCTCCTTGCAAATGCGGAGTTCGCAAATGCAAACAAAATATGGCATTTGCAAGATCTGCAACACCTGTGTAAACCCCAGCGAAAACTAAAACTCTTCAAACACTCTGAAACGTGTCTGAAACTCACCCGATCCCTCGGGGCTCCACACCAAACATCAACAAAAGTCTAAAAACATAACACGAACTTACTCGCGCGATCAAACCATCAAAATAACATCCGAAACCATGAACTGGACCTCCAAAACACATGAAATTTACATGAAACTCAAAAACTTCAAAAAACACAACCGCGTGTCCGATTCCTATCAAATCAACTCTGAATAATGCCAAACTTTGCAGACAAGTTGCAAATAACAAAACAGAATTATTCCAAGTTCCAAAACTAAAATTCGAACCCGATAGACATGAAGTCAACCTACAGTCAAACTTATCAAAATTCTAAGCCTTTAAATTGCCAACTTTCAAAGAAACCAAATCAACCTAGGGACATACGAATTCATATCCGGGCATACGCCAAAGTCCAAAGTCACGATATGAAACTACCAGAGTCGTCAAAACACCGTTTCAGGGTCGTTTTCATAAAAGTCAAGCTCCAGTCAACTCTTACCACTTAAGTTTCTAAAACAAGAATCATTCTTCCAAATCAATCCCGAATTGCCCGAAAACCGAAACCGACCATACACGTAGGTCATAATACATAATATTAATCTTCTCAAGACCTCAAACCACCGAACGAAATACTAAATCTCAAAACGACTTGTCAGGTCGTTACATTCTCCCTTCTTAAACAAAAGTTTGTCCTCGAACATGCCAAGAGTCTTTCCCAAGCCATCAAATCACTGTGTAAACTCACCACACACATGCACACGGTTGATCCCACATCACCCCAACCCATATAACCCCGCCGACACCATCTCAACCGAAGATTATTCCTTCCACTCATGCCGATAAGTCTTCGAACCAAATTTCAACACCCTTCAAGGACCCGATTCTCACATAAACACACTGTAAAATCCTCAAATAGCTACAACAACTCATGCATACATCCACAAAGTTTAACCACATGACGCAACACATCTCTCATACGCCCATATCAACAACTCTGACCATAATAACTGCCCATAATCCAACCCAACACCGGTAAATAACCTCATAACAGTTAGAGCCATGCCCCAAACCTTCCCAACACTTCTAACGATGTAAGAAACATGAAGATATCATAAAAACTCACCCAAATCAACAAGTCACACCCAACGCTACATGGGCACATGCCTCGCAATCTAAACTCGACAAGCACAACTCGAACATGACTGAATATGAAAAGAGAAACACATGAGAGAACTATCGAACAAGTCCAATAGGTAAAACTCCCCATCGGTATCATACTACGAATCCATTCCATAAGGGAGAAATAAAACATATGAACTTCACAAGATCCCCATCCTAATATAACTCTACCACGACACGCAACCCGGTCCAAACATACCGACCCACACGAAAACACGAGGATCCCATCCTCAGCTCTAAATCAAAAGTAGAATAGACATTACACAAATTGAAAACCTTCACTAACTACATTTTGCGGAACAAAATCACAACACATAAGGGACTTCCCATACCAGCAGGGCACCTAAATCACAAGTCGTAGCCAACCCATCCAAAATTCACATCAAAACCTATCGTACTAAGTAACAGAAAGATCATCCTAGTCTCATAATTCTCAATAGTGAACAAACCAAAATGATCAACGCGGATTAACACTATAAAATCTCTCAATAGGTGCAAACATATAAGCAGAGTAAAGGAATCACGAAACAAATCCATATAGGAAGTAAGATAGAAGGACTTACTCTGATATATAGGACCAGATCAAAATAAGACTAATGCTCCTCTATGACCAATCGGAATCATACCCGTAGCGACACCATCTGGTGCATCGGCCCCAACCCTACCATGGAAAACATATCAATGGGCGTGGCCTCCTGAAGTGCCGTAGAATTTCGGCACATTTGATACCAATTACATAGACTTTAGCTCATCTTTCAATGCATTTTTAGTTAATTCTTATGAAGTTTTGGTGTTTTGCATGAGGCTTGAGGACCCAAAAACATGGAAAAGAAGTCAAAAAGCCACAAAAGGGTAGAAATGATGCAAGTATGCAGTCACATAAAGCATATGTGGACCGCATAACCATCGCAGACTAAAGCAGATTGTTGGTTAACTAAAGAGGAGAAAATGCGACCCATTATGCGGTCACATAACGATTATGCAGACTACATAGTGATCGCATAGCTAAAATCAAGAAAGCTAAGAAGCACTTATGCGGAGGAATATGCGGTCGCATAATGTATGTGCGGACCGCATAATTGAAATGCGATCAAGAGTTAGGTTTGGAGACATGAGATTATGCGATGATTTCGAATAATATGCGGACCGCATACCTGATCTGCAACCAGTATGCGGTCGCATAAATTCTCTGCGGGTTATTTTTGTCAAATTTTGGCTCCGACTTTTAGCCCACTATAAATAGATTTATTAGGGTTTTTGTGGGTGAGCTAAGTTAGAAAAAGAGACTACTTTTGGGGCATTGAATGCACCATTGCTTTNGTTGTTATTTTCAATCGCAACTCTTTTACATTTGGGAAAATCTTAAAGAGTAGATATTACCCAACTATTAAAAAATATTGGGTAGTCACTTAGAAACCATTTGCATATCAAAGAACCTTCCATTAGAAATATATCAGATTAACACCGATTGCATTACATTCCATCAATGGGGACACAACCTTGGTTTTCTTAATCAAATTAATTACAACCTCACAATATTATACGTGTCTTCATTTCACTCAATTACAACATTCTTTTTTAGCTAACGGAATAGAATTACAAATTAAGTCAAGTTTCACACTACTCAAGTAACCTTTTCACACCTATTCCCCGTGGGATTCGACTCCAACCTAGTTGGGTTATTATATTTGACATCGACCGCTTTACACTATTTATTAAGGTGTAATTTGAGCGTATCAAATTTTGGCGCCGTTGCCGGAGAATACGGTCTTGAAATTACTATTTGGTGTGTGCGTTACTTTACATTTGTATTCCATCACACTTTTCTTGCTTTGCTTGGTGTGCTAGATAAACATGGCAGCGTATGATGAAGAAGAGAATCCTTTTGCGGATATAGATGAGTATATCGAGGACACAAATGCCATTGTCCCTCCGCGAGTTGAGACTGCTACCTTCAAAGTGGAACATGGTTTGATCCTAATGCTTAAAGCAGGGGGTTTCTTAGGAATTCTACCGATGATGATCCAACACAATATCTTAGAAACGTCTTGGGTATGTGTGCGATGCACAAACTGAACAACGTGTCAGATGATGCCCTAAGACTGAGGGTATTCAAGTACTCACTAGTTGGAGAGGCAAGGAAATGGATCCAAAATCTACCACCTCACTCCATTCACTCTTGGCCTGAACTAGTTCGTGCTTTCCTAGCCAAATGATTCCCACAAAGCTAGAAATCCGAGCTCAGGGATAAAATTTTCTTCTTCAAGCAATTACCAGGAGAACACCTACATGAGGCATGGGATCAGTTCAAGCTATACCTAGTGATGTCGCCTAATCATGGTTTTTCGGACAAAATCTTGTTAGAAAAGTTTTACATGGGTTTGGATCCGTTGAACCAATCCATAGCAAAGAATGCGGCGGATGGATCTTTTATGGACAAAAACATTCACAAGGATCACACAAATTCTCGACAAGATGGCAGAACACAATCAAGCTTGGCACTCGGAAGATACCACATGTGGAATTGCATACGTTACTCCCTCTTTGAGCAACATGATTAAGGAGAACCAAGAGAGAGATCAAGTAATTGCCGGTCTTGCCACAAACATTAATGTGTTAACCAAGATGTTCACTGAAAACCAAACTAAAAAGGTAAATATTGTGGAAGATGTGCAACCCTTGTCAAACGAAGATTGTGAGGAGGCAAACTATGTCCATAATTCTCAAGGTGGTTATCGCCAACAAAATCAATGGAGGCCTAACCCGCAAGGGCAAGGCCATCAATAGTGGCACAATGATCAAGGTGGATCAAGTCAAGGTAATTGGAGTAACAACAACAACAACTATTCAAACCGGAGTTCAAACCCCTATGTTCCACCAAAGGGGAAATACTCTAACTCATCGCATTATAAGGAAGGTTCTTCAAGTGAGTCCAAGTTGGAGAGAATGCTTGAAAGAATATTGCAAAATCAAGAAAGAGGCGACACTACAATGAAAAACATGGCCGAACTTGTGGGGTCACACACCGCATCCATACAAAATCTAGAAATGCAAATGAGAGATTTGTCAAGAGAGCATAATCCAAAGCCGAAGGGCGCACTCCCAAGTGGCATAATTGAAAACCCTAAAGGAAATGGGAGTGGTCCAACTTCTCATTGCATGGCAATCACCACGCGAAGCGGAAAGGTACTTCAAGGAGAAAATGAACAAATTGTGGGAGTAGATGATCTTGAGCAAGAGGTTGAAGCACAAGTTGAAGTGCCGATTGTTATTGAAGTTGAAAAGCTCCCAAAAGGAGTAAAAGTCCAAGAAGAAAATCATGAAAAGGTAAAGGAAAAGGCGAAAGAGGCACCAAAATATCTAGCACAAATTCCTAGACCTTCCCCTCTGTTCCCTCAAAGACTTGCTAGGAGGGTTGATGATAGCAAATTCGAGAAAATTTATGACATTCTCAAGCAATTATCGGTGAACATACCATTTGTGGAAGTCTTTCAAGAGATGTCGGGTTTTGCTAAATACTTAAAGGACTTGATAACCAAGAAAAGAACCACCAAGAATGAAGTGGTGAATGTGACTCACCGGGTTAGCTTCATTATTGCAACAACCATCGTTGAAAAGAAAGAAGACCCGGGAGCATTCACCATTCCATGCACTATTGGCTTGCGAGATTTTGCAAGGGCTCTTTGTGACAATGTGGCTAGCATTAACTTGATGCCTCTTGCCATTTACAAGCAAGCGGGGTTAAGCATTCCGAGACCTACAAGCATGAGGTTGCAAATGGCCGATCGTTCAATCAAAATACCAGTGGGAATTATTGATGATGTCCTAGTGAAAGTGGGAAAGTTCCTCCTTTCGGCCGATTTTGTGATCCTTGACTGTGCCGTTGACAAAGAAATCCCTATCATCTTGGGGAGGCCATTCCTTGCTACCGGAAGAGCACTTATGGATTCGGAACGAAATGAAATCAAGTTCCGAGTTAATGATGAAGAGGTCACCTTCCAAGCAAGTAAAGTTATGAAGTTTCCACATGCATATGAAGGCATCTCAGTCAATGATGTTGTTGATGAGGTAGAGGACGCAAGTGAAATGAAGATGGAAGAAGAATGCCTAGGTGAGGCTTTGGCGGCGATATTGGTAAATTTTGATGGTGAAAACATGGGGGGGGGTGCATGGAATCGATGAATGCATTAGAAGGACGTGGGTCTTACACTTACGCACCAAAGAAGTTTTCTCTTGACTTAGAGAATAGAGCCACTCCCCCATCAAAGCCTTCAATTATTGAGCCGCCACAACTTGAACTCAAGCCACTTCCACCATACTTAAGGTATAAATTTCTTGGCTCTAATGATACTTTACCGGTAATTGTTCCTTCCTTGTTGAATGATGTGCATGTAGATCATTTATCGAATGTCCTAAGGGAACATCAATAAGTCATTGGGTGGACAATAGCAGACATCCGAGGGATTCCCGTCGGAATCTGTGAGCACAAAATACAAATTGGAGCAAGGAAGCAAACCTAGTTTGGAGCACCAAAGAAGATTAAACCCGTCCATGCATGAGGTGGTGAAGAAGGAAATCATCAAGTGGTTAGACGTCGGGGTAGTCTACCCCATTGCCTATAGTTCTTGGGTGAGCCCGGTGCAATGTGTGCCAAAGAAAGGAGGCATGACCGTTATCCAAAATGAAAAAAATGAGCTCATCCCAACAAGGACTGTGACCGGATGGAGAGTTTGCATGGACTACCTGAAGCTCAACAGTGCCACTTGCAAATACCATTTCCCTATGCCTTTTATTGATCAAATGCTTGATCGGCTAGCGAGAAGGTCATTTTATTGCTTTTTGGATGGATACTCCGGCTATAACCAAATCAACATTGCATTGGAAGATTAGGAGAAGACAACATTCACATACCCATATGGGACTTTTGCTTTTAGCCGGATGCCATTTGTGCTATGCAACGCTCCGTCTACCTTCCAATAGTGCATGATGTCAATTTTCTCGGACATGGTGGAAGATTTCCTAGAAGTGTTTATGGATGACTTCTCTATAATGGGTGATTCCTTTGAGCATTGTCTTGACAACCTTAGACAAGTGCTCAAAAGATGTGAAGAAACAAACCTTGTACTAAATTGGGAAAAGTGCCACTTCATGGTGGATGAGGGCATTGTTTTGGGCCACAAAATTTCCAAACAAGGCATAGAGGTTGACCGAGCAAAGATTGAAATCATTTCTAAGCTTCCTCCACCCATTTCAGTAAAGGGTGCCCGAAGTTTTTTGGGGCACGGTGGCTTCTATAGGCGTTTTATCAAGGACTTCTCAAAAATTGCAAACCCCATGTGCAAGCTCCGTGAAAAAGATGCTACGTTCATATTTGATGAAAAGTGTCTCAAAGCATTTGAGGAATTGAAAGAAAAGCTCATCACAACACCTATTATTGTTATACCAGATTGGTCTCTTCCATTTGAACCCATGTGTGATGCCAGTGGTGTAGCCATTGGGGCAGTACTTGGTCAACGGCATAACAAAATCCTTCATCCTGTCTACTATGCAAGCAAGACTCTCAATGATGCTCAAATGAATTATACTGTGACCGAGCAAGAATTTTTTGCCATTGTCTATGCTTTTGAAAAATTTTGGGCCTATTTGTTAGGATCTAAGGTGATAGTCTACACTGATCATGCTGCTCTTCGCTATCTTATGGCGAAGAAGGATGCCAAACCAAGATTGATTCGATGGGTCCTTTTGTTGAAAGAGTTTTACTTTGAAGTCAAGGATCGAAGAGGGACAAAAAACCAAGTTGCGGATCACTTATCTAGGCTTGAAGAAGCAGGGAGGCCAAAAGAGAACTTTGACATCAATGATGCTTTTCCAGATGAGCACATATTGGCATTGTCTGACACATTCGCTCCTTGGTATGCCGATATTACTAACTATCTGGTTAGCGACCTTGTCACCGATGGATTAGAAACATATCAAAAGAAAAAGTTCTTGCGGGAGTGTAGGCAATACTATTTGGAGGAGCCCTTCTTGTTTCGTATTTGTGCCAACAACATCATTCGGTGATGTGTTCCGGAAGATGAAGTAATGCCAATTCTCAAAGCATGCCATGACTCCCCGGTTGGGGGGTCATCATGGAGGAAATCGGACGGCCGCGAAAGTGCTTGAATGTGGCTATTATTGGCCATCTATCTACCATGACGCGAATCAAATGGTCAAGGCTTGTGAGCAATGTTAAAGGCAAGGATCAATCTCTAAAAGGCATGAGATGCCTATGAAGTTTGTAATGGAGGTCGAGAACTTTGATGTGCGGGGGATTGATTTCATGGGTCCCTTTGTGAGTTCTTATGGCATGAAATATATCTTGGTGGGAGTTGACTATGTCTCCAAGTGGGTTAAGGCAATCGTCTTGCCCACCAATGAGGCAAGGAGTGTGACCGCATTCTTAAGGAAGAACATTTTCACGCGGTTTGTTACTCCCCGGGCCATCCTTAGTGATGGTGGTTCTCATTTCTGCAACAAGGCTTTCACCGGGCTGCTCAAAAAGTATAGCGTAAAGCACAAAGTGGACACACCTTATCATCCTCAGTCGAGTGGTCAAGTTGAAGTTTCCAACAGTGAGATTAAAAACGTCCTAGCAAAAATTGTCAATGCAAACAGGACCGACTGGTCAAGGAAGCTAGATAATGCATTGTGGGCATATCGTACCGCATTTAAGACTCCCATTGGCACCTCACCGTACCGGTTAGTATTTGGTAAGGCGTGTCATTTACCCGTGGATCTTGAACACAAAGCCATGTAGGCTCTGAAAAGGTTGAATCTTGGCTGGGCTGAAGCTGCTAATCTGAGAATGACACAACTCAACAAAATGGAAGAATTCCGTCTCCATGCCTATGAGAGTGCAGCCATGTATAAGGAACGAATGAAGTTTATTCATGACAAGAAGATCTTGAAGTGGGAATTCAAATCTGGTAACTTGGTCTTGCTCTTCAACTCGAGACTCAAGTTATTTCCGGGCAAACTCAAATCCAAATGGTCTGGCCCATTCAAAATTGTGAATGTGTCCCCTTACGGTGCTATTGAATTAGAGTCGGAGGACGAACTTCGAAATTTCAAAGTAAATGGCCAACGGGTTAAGCATTACCTGGGCACAACAGAAGACAAACACCTGGTAGAGCAAATTGCTCTCAAGGATAGTCCACCCCCCCACCACTGAGTAGCCCAAAAGGGACCAACATCGTCGTGCCGCGACGTTAAATCAAGCGCTTCTTGGGAGGCAACCCATGTGTGGTAAACTTATTTTTTTTTTGTCAGTGATTGAACAGGTTGACGTATGTATTAGAGTGCAGGTAGCCCAATTTACCATGAAACAAAGTGCAAGGACTAAAGCAAAAATGGTGGATCAGGGGTTTTCGGCAACTATGCGGTCGCATAATGACTTTGCGAACCGCATAGTGGTCGCAGACACGGTCAGAGAATTTGGGGAACTTGGGTCTGAAAACTGTGGTAAGAGTTCAAGTTTTGCGGTCCACATAGCAGTTATGCGACCGCAGAATGCATTGCAGAATGGAGGTAAAATAACTCAGCTCTAAAATCATCGCATAACACATATGCGACCGCATAATGTGTTATGTGACCACTTGCCCACCGCAAAACGTCCAGGTATAAATCCCTAACCCTTCGCATACTGTCAATCCCACTTGCACATGAACACTTAACAACTCTTACAAAATCAAAAACACAAAAACAAAAGAAACGAAAGAAAAGCCAAAAACATTTTAATCACGCACATAGATCTCATATCAAGGATCAGAATTAAGGAATTTACCTCGCTCATAACTCAGATTTCACCTTCGTCTTGCTCCAATATCTGGTATGTGACTCTTTCACTTTTTTTTATCTTCTTTCTCTTGTGGATTCATTATATAATGTCCATCATTTGAACTCCATATCTCGTTTTTGTTCTCAAACATGTACGGTGGGTACCTGTGTGGGCGATTGGTGGTTAAAGTTTTGCCTGCGAGTGTAGGGAATTATGTAGGTGGGAGGCTTGAACATTGTTGACCGAAGAAGATGATCTTTGCGGCCCGCATAATTGGGTTGCGATCTGCAAAGTCATCTCAAACAAGACCCTAGAAGGCCTAATGATTTGAACTTATGCGACCGCTTATGCGGTTGCAAAGGTGTTTTGCGGACCGCATAGCTACCGCAAATACAATCAGTTAAACTACCTTACGTGTGTGCAATTCTGCGATCCCTTTGCGGTCGCAAAACTAGTTTTGCGGTGATTTTTGCGATCACATATTCCCTGCGGTGTGAAATTCTGTGATAAGTTTGCGGTTCGCATAGTGGGTATGCGACCGCATAACCCATCGCATAAATTGTTTACCTCTGTTATTTTTCCTCCACATACGTTTTATGCTATGCCCACCACTCACATACTATTTTATTGCAGGAATGGCACCAAGGAAATCTATTGCAATACGATCACCACCTGCTCGTGGAAAGAAAAGAGCTGCTCCGAACCAACAAGCACAACAGTCTAAACGTCAACGGCTGGAAACCACCCGTAACACTTCTCAACACTCCTCCCAGTCTGAAGAGGAAGGGGCACATACGGACATCCTTCCATCAGTTGACCTACAAGCTGAAGCAAGGCGGAAGAGTGGGGAAGATTCGAGGTTTGGGGTCCCAGGCTCATGGAACCTATACAAAGAGGGGATAAAAAAGAGAAACATTCTCGAGGAGAAGCAGTCAAGCCTGAATGGTGTGAAAGAGAACTACCCTCACATAATTGAAAACATTCAGAAGAGGAAATGGGGATTCTTCACGGATGCCCTAGATGATTACAATGAAACACTTGTGAGGGAGTTCTATGCTTCTTATTCTGCCTCAAGAAATGCTGAGCAAAGGCGGAATATGATATTTTTGGACTCCGTTCTAGTTCAAGGGGTTCAGGTTCTCTGTGACGCAGGCACAATCAATGATCTATTCTTTGAGGACTGGTCATCAGGCACAGCTGAATATGATGAAAAAGTAACCAACAAAGATAACGAGCATGCTTGGATAACATCTGTCATAGCAAAGGGAACCCCCTCCTGGATTGACCCGCGCCACAAGATTTACAAACGGGATTTCACCCAGGAGGCCCGATATTGGCTCAACTTTGTTTGCTCCCATTTGAT